GGTTCTGTGAAATGCTATTGCAATTAGTGTATGATTTCGCTGACAGTGTGGTCTTACGATGAAGTGTATTGGCGAGAAATGCGATCTGCTCGAAGAGGATGGTGAAATTATTGATATGGAGTCAGATGAGAGAGGCGAATTTCATTTCAATGCTTTGTTGGACGCTGTCGCTGATTGGAGGAAACAAGACGATGTTGATTGCTCGCTGGGAGGTAGAGAAATATGCCGAGTTATATTATTTCCTAGCTGTGAAATGTGCGATGATCCAGTGTACTACACGAAGAAACCTAAACTAAACTAACTTTATTATACTGCATAGCTCTATCAGTTCTAAACTGTTCTTCCTAGAGCTCCAGTAAGGACCATCTCTTATTGATCCAGTCTTACTATAGGAGGAAACCTAAACTAAACTTACTTGATAATTATTTGCTCTATAAAACGCAATGTATATATATAATACTTTGTACTCTTTCTAAAATATATTGTTGATTTTGTGTAGACAAACTTTTAGGAATTCACAAGATGTTTTTGGATCAAACCCGAACTGTTTTCACCGAGGTACCTTTTATTGCATCTTGATTTGAACTGTCATGCAAATTTGTCCACAAATGAAATAACATTTCACCCGAATGCTAATTCCAGGCATCTGAACGACTTCTAAATTTTCATCTCGGAAACCTGGAATACGCATGCGCCACAACTCTAGATCAAGTGTCTGCCTTGTTCTGGGACCAAAACGAATCGTTTCCTCAGTTTCAAGGGAATCACACCCTACTCACTCACGGCTATGGAACGGTCCTACAGCGGATGAGCGAAGGACTTGATATTCATCTTGGTGCAGAGGTGTTGTTTTTGTTTTTCATCTCCCTTCAATCTTATAATTCAATCTTATATTTTCTTGACGTCTTTTTGAATTTTTGAATGATTCTTTTATGTAGGTTACCTCTGTCGATTACTCCGCAAAGACAATTTCTGTGACGACAAGAGACGGAAGAATATTCATAGCAGATAAGGTGAGACTACGTTACTGACTGGACTTCTTGGAAGAAAGTCTGTTCAGTATAAATAAAGTTAGTTTAGTTTAGGTTTCCTCCTGTAGTAACACTGGATCAATAAGAGATGATCCTTACTGGACCTCTAGGAAGAACAGTTTAGAACTGATAGAGTTATCCAGTATAAATAAAGTTAGTTTAGTTTTCCTTTCGTCTGTAGTAACACTGGATTCTTACTAGACCTAGCTTAAGAACTGATAGAACTGTACAGTATAAACATAGTTCTGTTTTCTAGGTAGTTGTAACCGTTCCACTGTCCTTGTTGAAATCGGAGGCCATTTCTTTCAATCCTCCGTTGCCAAGCAAGAAAACAGATGCCATCAAAGACTCGGAGCTGGTATAATAGAAAAAGTATGGAGAACCTGTTCTTATAGGGGGGGAGAACCTGATCTGACAAGGGGGGTGTTGGATGAAGAGCTTATTCTAGACACACTAATCAATAATTCTAATCAATTTTCGTGTGTAATTCTTCAGGTAATACTCTCGTTCCCCGTGTGTTTCTGGGAAAGCTACTCGGACACTTTCGGACACGTTCCGAACACGAAGGAAACACGAGGATTTTGCGGGATATTTTATGATCTATCACCCAAGGTACTGTATTATTCCATTCAATCACATAAATTTCACTGTTTTGTACCCTATATTAAAGGCGAATGGGTTAAGGATATAAGGAGTCAAGTTTTCCCAATGGGGAGTTCCCTAATGTCCAGCGCAGTTTAATGTTCAAGCTGTTCAAATATACGACTTTTTGTTTGTATGTTCAGAGTGTTTCAGACAGGCAGAAAAAAGACAATCATGTCTTGATGACAGTTTTGGCGGGAAACTCGGCCATGGAGGCTCAAGATATGGAAGATAAGGAAATTGTTGACAGATGTATGAAGTTGCTGAGAACGATGTTTCCCAACGAGGTTATACCAAAATGATACGAAATTATCAAGGGATCGATTCGGAGCATTGCGATTAACTTTGTGACTTCAATTTTTTAGACTGTACCAGACCCTTTGAAAAGCATCATTACTCGCTGGGGAAAGGATCCGTTTACCAAAATGGCGTACTCGTTCGTCGCTAAAGATGGCGTGGGTGAAGATTATTCGACACTCAGTGAAGATGTTGCAAAAAAGATTTACTTTGCAGGGGAGGTGAGTAGCCGAATAATATACACGTGGGTAGACCCACTCTGAACCAATTTCACCCTTGCTCGGCCTTTGTATTGGCAACCTCAGCGCAGATAAAACATTGGGTACTAGTAATAATTTTAGCCGTGCCACGGCCAATCTCGTCCCCTTCGTGGAAATAGACAAAAACACTTCTCCACGTTTCGACTTGAGGGCCTTCGTACTAACTCTCCTGACGAAGGCCCTCAGGTCGAAAAGTGCCCATTTAACGTCTTACTATTTTGTTCTAGTACAGCTGTAAAGTGTATATAGAAAGAGTAAATGTATTTTTCAATTTCGCAGGCTACAAACAGACAATTTCCACAGACAGTAACTGGTGCGTATATCAGCGGTTTACGAGAGGCCTGCAAAATTCACACCGACCTTGAAGCGGATTGACAAATTTGACCTTTTCATATCTAGCAAAGTTTGCATTCTTGCAAATTATGAGTGGATATCGAAAATGAATGATTTACGTTTGACTGACCTCACACGCGCATTAACCATCTCGGGATAATTTATGTGCGCTGATTTGTAAATATTGATTAACTTATATTTTTTAAGACAGTCCAGATTTTAAGATACTATATTTCGTACGTATGAAGAAATAATTATGCATTAATCCAGTGGCAATGGGTGCTTAAAATCATCGGTTCTGCATCGTCACAATCAGTTAGCAATTGTCTCGTAACAATGGTCTGCATGGCAAAAGTGCGATTTTTCCCATCGAAATTAGTGGGCTGTATACGACCTTAACCACTCGGCCAACGGATGGTGTGTTGACACCTTTTTAAAAATTTTTTAAAAATGTGTTATGTGGTTGGTTTTTGGTACATTGAAAAGGTAACCCCTGACCTTTCAAGAAGACCCTGGGAACGAGGTTATCAGTTGTGTTGACACGTTTGAGTGATGGAAAATTAACTACGAGATAAACAAAAAATCGCAACTGCCCGCAAAAATATTTTAAGTTTTTTAACCAAATTCTTCACGCTGTTTGACAACAATCATTTACTTCCTTGGCCATGAAACATTAATAAGAGCAAGAGAAAATTGTTTTAAAAATGGACGAGGTTCCTTTAATATCAGTAAAATGTGGAGGAATTCTAAAAAAGCAATCAGATAATTGTTGTCTTGCTATACCAGATAAAAACGAGCCAAGGTTGGATTTTGTATGTGAAGCTAAAGATGGCGAAATATTGAAACTACATTGCAGGAATATTACGGCGATTGATCTACGAGTAGAAGCGAAATTTGGTTCAATTGATGCGATGAAAGGCACCCTTTTGATTGAATGCTCGGTCGTAAAAACTAAACACCCGGTCAATGAAGCAATGAAGGATTGGCTTTACTTCCAGGTAGTTCTGGTGAAAGTTGTCTTGTCCGGGCGAGTTTTCACGTAAACGAAACCGGAGCCATTCGAGATCTTCTTAGGAAGCTAAAAGGGATTTATACAAGCACAAATTTGGATGAAAATACCAGTATCAGACACCCAAATGGCAGCTCTGAAACTTCCTCCCAAACTAACACCAAGCATTTGAAGGAAGGCTTACCAAAGTGGGTTGAATATATACCACATTTTCTGTACTCCAAACGAACCAGACGATGCATCCAATTGGCGATATACGTCTACCTTGTGTTCTCGGTGATGTGGGCGCTTTGGCAGCTCTATCGCTATGTTGAGTTTGTCAGAGAATTCTTGCGACCCTTGATTGACTTTCTCCAATACCAATACAGACTCCTGGACTATGCAATACGGTTCTTTAACACAATTTTCGAGGAGTATACCATTCAATGGCTTTGTTTCATTAAACCACTTTATACTGTTGCATCGACGATGGCTGCTCCAGTGTTGCAAACAGTTGCACAACTACGGCCATTGTTGCAAATTGTTGCACAAAGTGTTACCAGCAGTTGTGCGGTCATGTGGCCAGTAGTGAAACCAATAGCAAATGTTGCTTACCAACTTGGATACTTTTTATTCGGCATACTTCAAGGACTCAAGAACCTTGTGGGTAGGCTTTGGTTTCCATTCGTCAATGTTTCCATACCATCGATATTTGGTACATATTTCAGAGCAGTCAAACAAATGCTATGGACTTTATGGCAAAGTCTGGGGCAGACCCAACTGGATCCCTTAAGAGCTCAATTACTGATTGTAAGAGCTACAGTAATTCAAAGTTGTAGGGCTCTGGGTTTTGGAGTGGCACGTTTAGCACAAAAGATATACCAAATTATTTGGTTGAGAAGATCGGCAAGGGTCGAAATGCGCTTTAAAAAGCAGGACTAAAACTAAGAAAGAAGTTGGGTTGATTACTTTGGACAAAATTACATTAAAATGATTAAAATCATGAATATTATATAGCATTGATATTATCGAATTATAACATCTCTAAAATATAAACAGCATAGCATTACTTTGAGTATTAAGCTAATATCCTTATATATGAAAAACAAAAGGTGACATGTAGGCTGCATTTGATGGTTGTTAAACATATATAACAGTGTAACTGTATTGTAAGTTGAAAATGTACATATTTATAAATTTGTGCATCTATATAAATTAATATTCCTATTTATTGTAAATAGAGCATTTGTTGTTCAAATATGTATAACATATAAAGAAATACTGCTTTACTGTTGATGTTAGGTAACTCCACTGTGTATCCACATTAGGAACCACTTGCATATAGGTTGTTCAGACATGAATGTTTTAGTCTTATTTGAAGTTTCCATTACAGCATTTTACATCTTGCAGGCTCAGATCGAAGGTAAACTATATTCTTTTATATAAATTGTTACATTAGATAATTATTTGAACTTTGGAAGCCAATAATGCCAAAGGTATGTAAATGTATCTAGCCTTTGTTAGGTAGAATCATTTGGCATATTAGGCAGAGTAATTATTAATACCACACTTGCAGGCTAAAGATTTTATTTGAACATCATCAATCTATCTTGAATTCATAATCAACCCCATTTATATCTTTGATTAAGATAACTAAATAATTTTGATTCGGATAGGAAAAAGATCTTTGTTCATCAACTGTGTAATAGACCTTTCTCATAATGATAATGGCATGAAATGCAGAATTGCCAGATCTTACAGAAATTTTTATTGGCTCTGCCAAACTAAGGATTAAGAGCCAATCAAACTTCATGTACCACCAGGCTTTGTGATTCGATGTCATTACGACAAAAGTCTATTGTATCCTCATAGAGGAATACTGTATTGACTAGGATGTGTGTGCCTAAATTTCAGGTCAAAATTCACTACACACTTGAAGGACAAAGTAGTGTGATAAAGACAATAGATGCCAATGTTGCTACCCTGAACTTTATAGTTAGAGGGCTGCCAGGTTCCCCAGAAGGTTATAAAGTCTCTAGTATAGAAACTGTCGATGGTGTCGTCCTGAGTGATTGGTCGCAACCCCCACCAGATACTGTTTATGTTGTTGGAATAATGGAGAAATGAACATTCATTAAGATGAATTGTGATTTTGAGAAAAATGATGTATATTTTTTAAGGAACTGTACATAATTAAATGCTTGTGCAAAATGAACCAGAAATACATTTGTAATATTCGATAATTTGGAGTCAAATGTTTAAGTAAGACCAAAGACCATTTGTGTCCAAATAAAATGAAGGTGTAATAGTTATAGATTTTTTATTACTCCAGCCTTTGCATCCAAAATATCAACCTGTGTCAATTACTTAATTACTGAAATTTTACAAAACAAATGGGCTAGTTTTAGGCTGTGAAATTTTTATAATTATTGGCCATGGTCTAAACTCTGAAATACAAAATTTTGAAAGCATTCTGTAATCTGTAGTTCTCCCCCCCTCTGTGATTTCAATCCAAACTTCAATATGGCGCCTATTGCTCTGAAAGACAAGAGAATCGAGGAGCTCACAAAACAGCTTGTGAAGCGATTCATCAGAGGAGAGGTACGTTGGTGGATTCCTCAATGTTTGCTCTCTAATTCCCGTGCAAAATTTATTGCCGATCTCTCTTTGCAGTTAGCAAAAAAGAATGTTCCTGTTGCTACTCAATTTGCGATGTCAAATTTTAGGTAAGGTATTTTATAAAGAACACGAACATTGCTTGTAATCAAGCGCCTTCAGGTTTAGGCTATTATTGGAGATGGCTTTCATATGAAGTGGTTTTATTTCTACGATTAGTTGTCGATCGATACTAGATGTTTATATGACTTTATATCGTACTGTACGGTGTACCCATGCATATAAAAGTGTGGTATAAATGTTTGAATGTTTATATATGTACACCTCGTTTGTTGTCGTAACTGAAAATTTCTTAAATTCAGCAAATCTACAATAAAGACTGTATTGGTTTCCGTCTTGTATTTTTTACACCTTTGCAATTTCGAACTGCTATTTGTTTTTCAGGTACCACAAATTTTTGGATGCAGACAGCAACAAGATTTCAAGGACAATTCAGGGGTAATATGGATTATGTAGACAGCTCTGTTAAGCCAGATTTATATTTGAGAGATCATTAGTTCAAAAATTTTGAAGGCTATCCCCATCATTTTTGTTTTTGCATTTCCTCAAGACTTTGCGAGAAGTTTGCAATCCATGGACAAGATCATAAATCACAGGCTCTTTCAACTTTGGTAGAAAAGTTTATGAGCTGCCTTTTGTTTGACCAACAGTATGGCGAAAAGGTCTGAATATTGAAGAATACCTCTTTTATGGTGGCTTTGCTGTGCCTTGTAATTGTGTCATGTTATCTGTAAACAATGTATTAAATTTTAATTCCAGAGTGACGTTCATTATGCATTACTAAAATTCCTCACAGTGCTGTCAGATTCTCCGGTTAATTCTGTTTACCATCCACCACAATCGGAAGAAAGTCAAGATGGTGAGTTAATTAATAAATAACTATGAATAAGTATAATTTGTAATGTCATATACCATGGTAGTGAATTTTTCCCTGTGTTCTTGTACTTCAAAGATTAAGAAAAAACATTCAAAATGTTTGGATAAAGATAAGTGTGATGCTGTTTCAGACCAGTCACCAGTGTGACCAGATCTGGTTGGATGCTCAGAGATAGCCTCATTGCATTTATACCAGACTGGGGCAGCCTACTTCTAGCACGATTTGAGCAGCTTTGGTTGAATATTTGCATATATTGTCTAGCTGTTTCAGACATTACAATCATATCATATCATGTTTATTACAGTTTTATTATATCTCATTCTTAGCAAAAGACAATTTTAATTGGACAAACTATCTTCTTGAGGGTGAAGAAAAATACATTGTTCATTATTATGATACAAATGAAGAGGTATATGATATGATGCAAGTATTATTAAGTATTTGTATTTCCAATGATTGTTGCCGTTGGAAGTCGTCTACCAAGCTAAATCATCTTTATTCATTTCAGGAATTTTGGAGTGACTTAGATTCAGAGGTAGGTACAGTATAAAAGAATCATATATGTGTATAGATTTAGGGTGATCTCTAGTTGTAATGCAAGTGCTTTCTATACATTTTAAACTGTAGTATTTTACAAAATACAACATATTAACGTACAACTGTCTGCGTATGACCTATGGGTTTGAGTCTGTGTCCAAAACATGCAGAACTGGTGAACAAACCCAACCAGACATCACCTTTAAAGATTGTTCATTAGTCAGGGTATTTTGCTTACTTTTTATTATTTAATTTTAACATAAACGTCAAAATCATTGTGATACAATAATTGTTTTTCTAAAGGATGATGACAGCGTTATTGAAGATGATGAAATATCAGCAGAGAATCAGAATGATAAAGGAGATGAATGCAATCAACAAGAGAGAAACCAAGGGACTGTCAGATACATAGCAAATACTGGTGTTATAACATTGGAGGTGCGTATAACAAATAGATTCATCCATACCCAACACCATACCATACCCTAGCTCTCGCAGTTGGTGGGGGGGGGGAAGTTGTGGTAGAAAATTAATGTCCATTATTGTAGGCGAGGGACATTCTTTGTGAAAACATCATGGAACCATATTGGATGACTAAAGAAAGTTCATCAGCTGCTGAAGAATCTTCAAAGATATCACTTGCCTCGCAGTGGTAAGTAGTTAACATGACCTGGGGGCCAAAACATTGCACCAATGAGTTGAAACACTTTTTGAAATGCAACCAACTGCTCCTGGATACATTTCAGTGGGTGAGATTCAACAATTGTGACCATTGCTTTTGCATTGTAGGTCAGAATATTGTTTGGAAACAAACCCTCTTGGTGTTAGACCAACACAACGTCTTCATGAAATCCAAGTTATCAGAGAAACGATCTGGTGAATAATTTAACATCCATTTTACCATAATTTTTATTTAGTTTTGTTTGGATGTCCTAAACCAGAAGATTTATTCTATATAGGATGTTATCTGGTGTTAAAAAACTACACGTTTATGATTTTACTAATGAAAAATTCACAGTTCGTGAGGGAATTGAAATGACACACATAACCGAGGTAAGATAAACTATGTTTTCTTTTTTCAAACTTGTGCGGGCAAATATATTTCATATTTCGGTAAAATGAATGCTGAAATTCGATGGGGCATTCATGTGGATCAAACATAGTCAAAGGTGCTTTAGGTGGCTTGTTTTTTCCGTATGAGATTGCCGCTAAAAGCGTGTTTAAATGTTATTTTTTTTAGCTTTCACTACAGAAGTTTTTGATCGCGTTTGCCGACACGGCTACTTCAATAGTCGAGTTACGTAGTTTCATAAAGAAAGTTTGTCAAGCCTCAACCAACAAAAAAATCCCACAAACGTATCAAGCGTTTAGCTTTTCGGTTTTAAAATACTTTCAGGTATGCTCGTCTTGATCTTTACAGCACAAATATACCAGAGCTGTTTCTTGCTATCTGGAAATGAAGGTTTTCAGATGTCGTAGTCGATTCATTGCACCGCTTTTAACCTATTCAAACTATTCAAATAGAAATTTAATGAAGATTTGTCAAAAATCGAGGAATCCATCATAAAGAAAGGTATGTCTTATGTGCTAAAATCGTCCCTTTTTCTTTAATTCGGTGCGTGTTATTACAATCGTAAATTACAATGGTCGAATGTTCAAAGTGTTGACTAGGGAGACACTGTATCAATGACACTGTTGTCTATATGTACATACCTCTGTTCAATGTTCGACTTATGGCTTATGCTGTTTTGATTATTATCCTTGCAGAGGAAACAGTTACGTTATCAGTCCTGCAATGTCACATTTCACAATATCAGAAAGAGGTATTACTGTAGTAATAAATGGATAAACTGTTGAAAGTTATCAAGAATTTACGGGGTGAAATTAACTTCATTGATTGTGTCTCTTGCAAATAGATTACTGCGATATTTGATGTGTATCATCAGGGGATCAAAATCGTTGCAGAAAGACCGAACTACGAGGTAAAGCAATTCATGATTTATTTTTGATATTTTTCTCAACCATCAGCAGGAAAGATATAGCTACCATCCTTTCCTCTGACGGACGAAAAACACGTTCTATTCATCTTTATAGAAAGTCGCATTTTTCCTAAACGCATTTTACCATGAGATACTGCTTGCTGATGGCCTTGGAGATTATGGTCGTTGGAAGGTTTGTGATTCAACTGAATTATCCTAATTCACGATAGGAAAGTTCTTTGGACAAGCATTTTATCCTTGCATTCAAACAATATTTACAGGACTTCTTTGTTTTTGCGTTCTGTATATAGGTGAAAATCTTACTACCTCTGTTCTTGAATACTCTGGAACCCTACGTGGAATTTCTTGATGGTTGTCTCACTGAAGGAAAGTTAATCGATGCCGCTGATGAGTTCTGTATTCAAAGGTGTGGTTTACTCTGTACTCAAAAGCTGATCTGATAATACACTGAATATAGCAACTATATCTTCCATGTAAAGGCTCCAACCCTAAGCATTGAAATATTTAGTTACGGTATAAATTATTTTAAACTGGGAATTGATTATTTCCGACGTTTTGTTTGACCGGTGTAGTTGCTATTATCCAGGCTATTGACAGATCAGTTGGAATTAAATGATTAAGGTCTTTTCAGTTGGAATTAAATGATTAAGATCTTTGTAGTCATCTAGGCTTAGTTAAGGCCACCTGTTTTGCTTGGCACAGACTTCCTGAGCGAAAGCCAAGCTGATCAATCTAGTCCAAAGATGGATCTAGCATATGTAAACAAAATAAGTTAAATCTTCGGAAGTTCTTAACGCCACTTAAAGTGCACTTTTAAAACGGAAAACAAACATTGCTTTATCTTTCTAAATACCGATTACACTATTCTTTCCCCGCACTAGGCTTTCTACAGTCGTCAACCAGGGGCCTGAATTATGGGCATCAGTTTTAAAAGTCAAAGGTACACATCAAATTTTCATGTATATCCCTTTGTATGTTTGATGTTTTTTATCCAAATTACAATGTACTTTTCTCATTAGGTGAAATTGAAGCTTACAGCGTTTCTTGCCCGACATTTCTCCAGCCTGTCCTTCCAGAAGTAAGATCTTGCAATATGGTTTTGATGATATAGTTTACGTGTTAGATCATAGGTGTTATTTTGTTCGGATGCCCATGTGAAGAAAAAAATCTCAAAAGTAGAAATGTTCATACCGGATGTTTTTGTTGTTTTTCTATATATAGATTATTCTCGCTGGAAAGTCTATTATCCTTCTTGAAAGTTTGGGCGAGGTAAGAATGGAGAAATAGATTAGATTTCATGCATTTCTTCTACGTTTTTCACACCCATACTTTACCTTTAAAAGCCTGGGTACTTAGTTTCGAAAAGGTATAGAGATATGGGTCGAGATGTATATTGGCTGGGGTTAATCATGTAATATTTTTATCCCAGCTTTCGAAGAATGCTGATCGACTTTTACAAGGTACTGAACGATTTTTGTGAAAGCTGAGCTATTAGACCCCGTACCTTTCAAATTAGGAATTGTTTAGCTACATAATCTCGCTTAGTCGAGCGTAAACGTATCGTGAAGTGACTTTGAGGTATTGAAATGAGTATATAACACGATTCTGGAAGTGTTGTAGTCATTCCAACAATAACATGTGTTTGTTTGGCTTCGTATAGACCTATTTCAATACCTCAAAATCATCACAACTGCTGGTGTAAACAAACTCTTACTCGCGCGTCCATCAAACATTTACAGTGCCTTATGAAAATAATAATTCTGTTATTTTTTTCTTTATTTACGCAGAGGAATCTTTGAACACAATGTTCGCACGTTCTGTGTCGACCCTCACGGACATTCAAAGTAAACACGTATTTTTTGTCGCGATATAATCTTCTTTTCAGGGTGGCGTATTTTTTTTTTCTTTGTCCCACGTAATTCGCTCGGAACTGCATGTTCGCGCTACCACGCACATGTGTATTACATGAAGAAAAGCCAATTTATATAAGAGGATTATATCCATTTTTTTCGATACGTGATCTGATGTTTACTTGCTGTGAAACTCCCCATTTTTGCAATGTTTATAATGTTTATTTTTGCCCAATAAAACACACATAAGTGGAATGCAACTTAAGATTGATAGATTAAGTGCACATATTAATCGTCTGTCAGACAACGGTGTGTATAAAATATCATGTGAAAATGTGCAATATTTGTTTTCTGTTCAGATATGGCAGAACTATTTCAACTGTGTTTTTATCCTCATATTCGAGCGAAATACGAAAAGGTATAGGCTATATCTTGTATAAAATGCAAGGAGCAATGTTTACAAGTTTTCGAAATGTTATACAATCTATTCCGAGCACATCGTGACAGATTTTCCCGCCTTTTCCGTCTGTATTTTTAGATGTATTTTATAATCAATGTCCTCTTCACTTTTGTAGAGTTGCAGTTCTTTAATTCATCTTTTGAAAACTGAATATATGTTATTAGATCACCTTGCAGCCCTAAGGGTTAGTTATTCTGTGAATTACGTTCGTAGCTAACAAACAAGATATATAAGCTTCTGGGATGTTTGTTTATTGCTGCAAATATTGTTTGTATAAAATCATACTCTTTGACTTGCGCTTAGAAATTTTTCTTCCTGGAAGCGGGAGACGCTATGCATCATTTTTACACAGACATCTTTAAGAAGGTTGGAGTTCTTTTTCCCGCACCGAATTTTAGAAATAAAGCATGTACGCTGTCAGCTAAACAATCTTTTGGCCTTGCTGATAAACCCTTTTTCGTCTTCTTTCAATAGTGCAATCGTCATGAACGATGGCAAGACATGTCATATTTAAACAGCTTGTTTTACGAATCTCTCAGTCCTGCATATTCTGAAATGAAAGAGAGGTATATACTTTTAGACTTAATTTAGCGAAACCATATCTCTTCTTGCGAACAGGTGTATTGTTGTACTAGGTTCGGCCTATATAACGATTCCAATTTCCACTTCATTGCCAGGTTTACAGTGGGCTATAACAAACCAGAAAAATTGACGATAGACTCGTTTGAAGGCTTGGAGCTAAATTATAAGGTAGTGCCATACGTTCTTGATAATCTCTCAATTGCAGTTGTGTTTAACAATGTTGATCTTATTCAAAATAGTGGATCTATTTGTTTTAGGCACCCTGGCCAATTAACCTTGTGATAGACGCTTCATCTCAGAAACGATATAACGATGTTTTCTTATTTTTGTTGCACTTGAAACGTGCAAAGTGGAGTCTGGATGATTTACGTTTTAAAGGTAAACTACAGCCACAAACCTCGACAGCTGGACCACAACGTTTAAAATATCTTTTTCAGGTTGTTCAGACACAAACCACGACAGCTTATTGTAGAATACTACCACGTTTCAAATATCTTTTTCAGGTAGTTCAGACACAAACCACGACAGCTTATTTATATTTTGGTATTATATACTAGATCTACAACGCCGGCAGATCGCCCCTAACTTTGAAGACATTGAGGATGAAGAGAAAACCCCAGTTCAACCGGGTCCCGTAATGGATTATCGTGTTCAGCATCGATTGCATCTTGTCCGTTTTGATCTAATGCAGTTTGTTAACGGCATGCATCAATATATTATGACCAGGGTAAGTCTTGGTCCAAGTGTGGAACCCTAAGAGGCTGAATGAGGTGTGTTTGCAGGATTTGGCTTCGTTTTGCTAAGGTGATGCAAGAGTTAGATCATTTTATTTTAGATTCTTCACAGCAAGCTGGAATTTAAAGAAGCTTTAAACAAGGTGTTGTAAATACAAAACTTAACATTTGACCGCAATGAAATTATAGTGATAGCTGCATGTTTGTAGGCGCGATTTTTATGCGAGGTTTATCAATTCTCGTTTGACTTAGAGTGTCACTTGTTCTGGGTCAAATTATATTAGTGAGGGGTGGGAAGCAAGGTAAAGATGGGAGGGGCACTCGGGATTTTTGGTGACACTTTTAGAACAGGGCAAAGGCATGTCTTTAGATATCTGAACTTGGACAGAAAAATGAACTTCTAGAAAGAGAACATTTTCTCATCACCTTAAAACGAACTAGTCTCTCACCCACTTCTCTATCGTTATCTTTCTAGGCAACAGATTTAGATGAAATCATCAAAGCTCATTCGCTTTTCGTGGAGAAGATTTTTGAAAGATGCCTGATGACGAAGAAGGTAACGTGTATATTAAACGTTGGAAGGATTCAGCACGTTGAATCCGGTAACCTCACTTGGTTGACGAGGAAAACTTCTAATCAAATTTATTCATGACTTCTTTCCTTGACTACCAAAAATTGTTTCGTTTCTTCTCAGCTCGAAGTTATGAAAGTTGGTATTCTCAAAGTCCTAAGACTCGCCGTGAAATTCAGCAAACTATGGCGTCTGGATGTCAGAGATAACAGGTTTGTCTTGTTTTTAGAATCGCTGAGAACTAGTTCGACATATTTGTAGCAAGAGGTGTTTGAAATAGCCAGAACCCTATCACAAAGCAAAACCCCAGTTATAACACTAGGACTTTGAGGAAAAACACCTGGGAACTTTCTCAATAAAGAAAACATTTGTTGTCTGTGAGCCATAAAGTTGTTTGCAAACTTCTGTGGCTGATTTACCCCTTTGTAAGAAAAATTGTTCCACATTTTTTAGGGAAGGTTTAGTGATATCCATGGGTGAAGATCTTCAAAAATGGAGAACATTCATAATGACATTCTTGACAAAACAGATAAAACGCGGTTCATACCCACAATGTAAGTTTTTCTGAAACCATTTCGTTCTTCATTTCTCCATGAAAAATGGTAAAAATGTATGTAACATTGTTTTTATATTTCAGTAGAAGCATTGGCTTTCAGTTTGGGATCAAAGAAGCAAATAAACGTTGGAGAAAGTTAGGGCGAATTGTGGACAGAAAATTGTAAATAAAATTTTTGAATGAATATATTTATTTATTAAAGTGTATTTATGGTTAATATAGCGGTGTCCACTGTCCATTTTTGATGTTGTATAGTGTGGATCAGAAGTTCTCCAGGACTTGTACAGAGTCTGGGCTTGAGGAAGTAGGGCATCTTGAGGGGGGTGTGTTCTTGTAGGGTGGGGGAGTTTGTTGTGGAGGGGGGGGGGTCTAGTGGCGTGTGATTGTTTTCAGTTCCCAATCTTCTCTCCTTGATTTATTCGTGCGCGGCAGATTCAATATGGCTGTCTTTACACGTGTCATTTTCGTTTTAAAACTTTTCTTTATTTATCTGCTAATATTTGCAATCGGCAGCCAAGAAGACAGAGATCTTGACAGGATTTCGCTGCACGATATTGAGCAAATCACACGAAGGAGCTGTGTTTTAGCAGGATTGCCGTTTGCAGAGAGTTTGAACGACCACTTTTTAAATGTCCTTAGAAAGTTGCAATTTTCGGCATTTAAATCTGAGCCGAATGTAAGAATTGCTTTACTTAAACAAGAGAAAGACTTGTTGAAAGCTATCAAATGGGATGGCGGCGATTTACCAAGCTTGTACAACGACTCGATCGTATTTTTTCCGAAGATCAAGCCAGACAGAGTCTGTCTCACACCAAAGCCAAAACTGGTACTAACAGCAGAGGTAATTTTTTATTGTACTGTACTGTTGACGGTGTACCAAATACACTCTCGTGGCCCTATTTCCCGAGAGGATTGATACATTTATACTTGTGTGGTTCAAAATTTTGAAAACTTTCAAACCGCTTTTGATGAATGATTTTTCATTCCAATAGTATTCTTAAAATTGGTTGGTGGGCTAATGGTATAATATACTGGCTAGGGTGTGTAAAAAGCAGAACACCACCATATAAAGTTGCACTCATAGTTCATTTTGTTCTAGGTTTGGAAGGATAATGTGGATGCCCAGTTATTGCTATTGTATCTGAACTCAAAGTGTGAAACCTTTCAAATGCTTGATGGAAGCCTCTCTGTGCAAGGAAAAAGACGTCAAGATATTTTGACAAACCTGTATCACCTGCCAAGAGTTCCGTACCCTGCTGTTGCCGCAGAATGTGAAAGGATTGCTATGCCAAGCAGGGAGGAATTCATCCACAAATATCTGTTCAGATCTAAACCTGTTATAATTGAAGGTAGGGCCATAAGTTCAACAAAGTCAGATTCATTCATCTCATGTACAGTAGTTGAATTGTAGGTCTTTAATGAAACTTTGTGGTGTGTGAGTGGTTAATACCATAAAAGAAACACTAAACAATACAGTTGATAAAAAATAAAACTAAATCATTTGCAAACTCAGGAACAATACAATTAAGCTTTTAAGCTCCAAATATGGCTTGTCAACAGCCATCAAACATTCATTTGCTTTTGGCAATGCAAGGTATCATTCACACAGTTTGCACCTAGCTATGTTGCCACCTGAGCTCCCCCTCTCTCGTATGTCAGATAAGCCTTTAGGCTAAATGACTGATGTAGTCATTTAAAATTTTTCCAAAGGTGCTCTCCAAAAGTGGACAGCTCTCAAAAAGTGGACAAACATTTTTCTTGAGTCAAAATTCGGCAAAAACATGGTCCACATCAAAATGACTTCGGACGGCATTTTCGAAGGCTGCGACAAGGCAAAGCACTTCTCCAATTTTAAAACATTTCATGCTCCTGACTTTGTTTCAAAACAACTGCCATTTCCTGAGCTGGTCGTTGTCCGACCTGCAACAATGAATTTAAATTTTTCGTCCTTCATGGATATGATTCGCCGGCCACCAAAAACAAACATGTCCGCATACCTGGAGTATTCCTCGATTCCTGATCATATGCCAGAGTTGGAACAGGATATTGCAGAGTTTGATTTTGTAAAAAACATTTTGACAAGAAGACATCTTAATATCTGGTTGAGCAATGGGAACACACTTGGGAAATTGCACTTTGATCCTTATGAAAATTTTCTGTGCCAGGTAAGGTGTATATTTAAGGATTGTAAGTTGGTGTGAAACTTGTTTGAAATAAGACACTGATTGACAACATATATCATGGATACAATACTTAATTATGGCTATTGAGAATTGCCAGTTGTACTTTTTTTAAGCCTATTGCTGAAGGATGATTGTTATATATTTTAAGAAGTACAAAAGCTATTGACTTCTCTGATTTGCCGAAGTTTTCTTTAAAATTCTTAGAATTTTAACACCAAATAGCGATTTTAACACCGAAAATATGTAATTTAAATTCAAGCAAATCATTTTTGCAGATTAGCGGCTCGAAACAGGTGACCCTATTCGAACCACACAAGAATGAGGAGCTCTACGAAGGACATATACAAGAGGCCATTTTGGCATACGATGAACGGTCTAAGAAATTTTCCAAGAAAAAATTACTAGATAGCACTTCCATGGTGATGTCTCCTATAGATATTCTTAGACCAGACTATAAACATTTCCCAAAATTCAGAGAAGTTCCTGGAATGAAATGTACCATTCGCGAAGGGGATGTTCTTTATATGCCATCATTCTGGTGGCACGAAGTGCAGTCGAAGCCCAGCGAGGAAAAACGAAACTTGGCCGTCAATTTTTGGTACGATTTTGTTGAAGATTCCGTTTTTTCGTTTACAAATTTAGTTTTATGATGAAATATCGACAATTTGCTCTTTCTTCAGGTATGAGCCGTTTCTTACGAAGGAATTCCCGTGTGCTGAATGCCCAATGAACATCAACCCACACTACTTTTATAATTTACTGTAATCTCATAGACTTTACATAGATCTAGGAATAGAGTATGAAATTATTTAAATAGAGCCAGTTTGCATGGGACCGAAAAAGGTTTCCTCCTGTAGTAACACTGGATCAATAAGAGATGATCCTTAATGGATCTTTAGGAAGAACAGTTTAGAACTGATAGAGCTATCCAGTATAAATAAAGTTAGTTTAGTTTAGGTTTCCTCCTATAGTAACACTGGATCAATAAGAGATGATCCTTACTTGACCTCTAGGAAGATGAATGTGGTTTTAGGATAAAGACAATGACTTCTTCAGGCATAAATATATATATATAGGTATATATATAATGCCAATTTTTTACTAAGAATTATGTAAACGCCAATTTTTTAAGAATTATGTAAATGAAAATATATATATATATATATATATATATATATATATATATATATATATATATATATATATATATTATATATATATATATTATATATTTGTTAAATCCAGACGTTTCGTTGGTTAGGGCACCTTCTTCAGTCGATACAAAGTGTTCAGGCTTGAGTTTTAAAACTGTTTTACTGCATGTGCATGTATTTCGTAAATGTTGTATAGTTATGTTGACCAAGGAAGCAGCTGTTATTATTTTAAAATTGTTTTTCGTGAATTAATTCTCCACAGAGCAGGTGAGAAATGTCATTGAAATGAGTTCATTACTAGCATTGTTCCGAGGGCGAGGGACAGTTTCTACAAGTGCACACTTGCAGTATATTTCAGTGGAAAAAGTGCCTGGTAGACAAAAACAAATATATAGTAGAGGAATGCAATATTCCAAGTTTTTTGAAGGCGTGATCATAGTTTAATTTTAGCTCGTTATTGGTTCCGGTATATAGCACCTGTCTTTAGAGTTATGGAAATGAACTGAAGAATTTTAAAGCTACAGCAAACAAGAGTTACACGTGTTCATCTGCAGAGAGTGATGTCAAAAGTGACGAAGTCAATGACTTAAAAACGTTTTATTTAAACTCAGTTTTTCATACGACTGGACTGCCATTTCAACATGGTTCGTGGATTCAGCGCTCGAGTCGTTTTTTTCTGCTTTTTCCTATCCTTTGCTTGTTTTTGCCATGACGGTGGCGGTTCGCGATTCACCAGGCGACAGCACAAAACAAAATCGATTCAAATGAAAAATAATTGGAAAATTGAGCAAGGCAGATGGACCCCAAACGATAGCGACGACGCTCTGTCGAAAATCTATCGTTTAAAGAATAGAGGAGCAGGTAACTATTACAATACTGTATAGAAATATTCGCATTTTGAATACATTTTGATTATAAGAAATGTTATTTATTAATCTTAAATGCATAATTTTCAAAGGAACTGGGAGAGAAGAATCCCGAATGAATAAAGGCAGACTAAAAAGCTTCGCAGAAGAAGATATTTTAGAACCCAAACCGTCTAATCGAAAGAATAAGAGGAAGAAGTTACTGACCCCGTTATTCCATCCATATGGAGAATGGCACAAGTTTGTTGCGAAAAACACACCTGCCTTGGAATATCGAAGTTTTCACAACGCTGGTCAGAAAGCAGATGGGGAAAATTTCGTTTCTTCCACAGCACAGCGCTTTCGGAGGAGGCGTGACACTTCTTCAGCTATATCGGGAAGTGAGTTGGGTCCAAACGAATGTACAAATTATACCTTCACCATAAAGTATGAAGACGAATACAGAGTATGGAACAATTTCTCAATAATTTACAGAGGGCAGATGTACTATTATTATCAGTACAGATTGACGAATCATGGGCTAGTAGTTTGTCATTCTTTCGACCAGAGCGTTCAGCAAAGTTGGGCACAGTCGACCCACTTCGAAAAGGAGGATATGGCTTACAAACGCTGCAATGTCTCCGTGGACGGCTTTTTCTGGGCGAATTTCACGTTATACAAGAATTTCAGTGTTTTCTTGCCAGCTACAAAGCAGTTATTCAACCATTATGATTATGGGGTTTTTGGCACATACCTCATAATTTGTTCAGCAAAGTTGAGTTTATCCTGCAATTATCATTTATTTAAGGTAAATTACGGCGAACAATACTTTGTTTGGAAGAACTTTTCGTTGTTTTACAACAACAAAATGTACGATTATAACGAATATCGATTCAGCAGTGACACCTTGGAACTGTGTACTTCCAGTGATTCAAGAGTTCAGGCAATTTGGAGAACCACCATTTCGTGGGAAAAAGTGATAACGGGTGCATTTTACTGCGGCGTAGATCAGGGAACAATAAAGACAATATTTCTAAAATATTATGCTGTGTCGAAGCAGTTTACGCTATATGCCGCAGGATCTGCACAGTTTTTTGAAAAGCATGAATATATGGTACAGTCTCCAGGTACACTTGCCATTTGTGACATAAACCTGAAACCAGAAACATCGAATTTTACTGCAGAAGACATGACGGTTTGCAATGATTCCGTCATAAGAATTGACTACGATGACGACTACATGGTTAGAAAGGACTTTTCACTCGTTTATAAGGACAAGGTCTATGGCTATACTGATTATCGAGTTCTGAATGATAGTATAAAGATTTGTAACTCCACCGATGAATTCGTAAGAAATGTTTGGAAACTGCGTAATTTTTATGTCAAACAGTTCAGACATCGAGAATATTGCAATAAACCCGTTTTCGAGCGAGCGTTCAAGCCGAAATATTACACGGTGCTCAAGGACTTCAGACTTCTCATCATTCCAACAAAGCAGATTTTATCCATGTACGATTATGGAGTGCTTAACGGCGAGATACGAATATGCGATGAAAAAGCACCACAACTATTTTTTGTAGGAGACTATGAGCTGTACATGATAGCGCCATTTTCTGCATTAGCTTTTTCTGTTATTTGCTTGCTTCTCTTGTTGCTAGTTCATGCCTTGCTTCCGGATCTACGCACTCTTCCCGGGTTGAATTTGATGAGTTTAAGCGTTGCCTATTTATTGTGGTTGTCTTATTATATTGCATTTTGGTCGCTATACGGTCGTGTTGGAACATTATTTAAACCACCTTGCACCAGTATAAAAATAGCAATAACGTTTATTCAATATGCAATACTTATGAACGCTGTTGTTAATGTCTATCACTTAAAGAAAACCTTTTGTTCCACCACTTTGGCAAGATCTGATGAAGGCAAGTTTAAAACCTTCTTGAAATATTGTATCTTAAGCTGGGGTGTTCCAATCATTATAACTATTGTCTATATCACACTTGTGAAGACAGGAGTTGTCACGTTTCGTCTGCATATGAATCTTGAAATTCGTAGGGGGTATTATTGTGCCAGTGAGCATAATATTCCAGCTTGGTTGAATGTTTGTGGGTCGTTTGTTCTTCCAGGTTTAATTTTGTTGTACATTATTGTCATGTTCGTTTTCACCGCTTATCGAATTCACAAAAAACTCAAAGCAAGCAGTAGCATTGCACAGAAGTCAAATATTGCTAAGAATCGTAAAAGCTTTGTTTTATTGCTTAAGTTAATGACCCCTACTGCCACAAGTTGGTTTCTGCCTGTGATAATACTTGAAGACACATCTGCAATGTATGATGTTCATGAAGCCATTGTGATACCGCTGTACACGCTAATGTTGCTCACCGGCGTTTATGTTGCTGTTGCGTTTGTTTTCACCCGTAAAAATTACCAGCTCCTGAAAAAAAGATATTTTCCAAGTAAAAATACGCCTGATAACTAGACGCTGTTGTATTGTTTATAGATGCATGTACGTTTAGAGCGGGAATTAAATGATTAAGGCGTGTACCTGCAGCGATATTTGCTAAAATGTATTTGCAAATAATGCGATCTTCAGCCGTGCGTGCATGTATATATGAAACATTACAAGCAACTGAATTTGTAGCAAAATGGGTTTATAGAAGAGAAAACGTTGTATAAATGATTCAAATAAGCAGTGTAATGGACATTAGTGCATGATATATTAGTGCAGTTGTGTATATATATTATAACTGAAATGATCCAAATAAGCAGTGTAATGGACATTATTGCATGATATATTAGTACAGGGGCCGGTTGTTCGAAAGGCGTTTAGCTTAAACGACAGATAAGCCAAAGTTTAAAAATACTCTCATACATCTTGTGAATAACTGAACCGGCATCTTCTGCATTTAATATGTACTTTCATTGACAATTAAACTATTTACTTCGTAATATTTCAGCTCAGTTGTTCAATAAATAGATAATCTAGTTTTCCATTTTTAATCTATCCACCGTTTAAGGTAAACGCCTTTCGAACAACCGGCCCCAGTTGTGTATATATGTGTGCGTTCATCCACACGCCGGTACCGGATTCCGTCGTCACAACATCTTCGTTTTCCGTTTCATGAAGCAACCATGATTAGCAAATGCTTATCAATTTGATAGATTTGGTATATTTATTCAGGTGTTGGACATTGAAAGTTTTCTTTTATTACCTTAAAAATTTGACCTGTTTCGATGGCATGCAATCCGGTACCGTTTGAACAGAGCCTTAATCTACATGCAGGATGTTACACAAGGTTGTGACTCATGCAGAGAAATCTATTTATATCAGATATTGTTCTTAGCACAAGAATACCGTTTAGGGTTCTGATCATTTTAAACTTTACTGAAAATTTTAGTAGCAAAAACTGCAGAGGAATGGCGTTTGATATAAACACGCTACTGCATGCATGTATATATATAATCCTTCAGTTGTCAGTCTTTGAATATACTCCAATAAAAATATACTATGGTAAATCATTTTTGGTTGTATTTTCGCTTTTTTCTACTTCACCAAGGGTGTTATATAATTTGAGTTAATTGTTAAAGCCATTTTGGCTATTTGTGAGAATCAGCTGTCCGCGTCTGCATGTCACTCCTGAATGTGACACATATCCAGCTGATCTGGGTATAAAAATCAACCAAACAGAAGCCAGATCTTCGACAAAGCTGAATTATCATTTCCTTCATTGCATATTTACTTTGACACTCGAAAATATCAAGTAATTTTATTATATTTAAGCGAAAACACGCTTATTTTTTCCCAACAGTAAATTAGAATTTAAATTTTTCGCCCTTTATACTATTAGTTAGGAGAGTAAGGACAAGTAACACACGGCGTATGAT